TCAAATCAAGGGCGTAGAACGGAAGAGAAGAACTGGCAATAAACTCTCCGCCACTCTTTTTAATCGCCATGTTTTTGAAGTGAAAACTTCTTTAGCGGCGCTGAGCACTTTTGTATGGGTAAAAACTTTCAAACTGCGTCAGGGTCACGTATGCTGATCGAAAAGCGTAAGATCGAGGGGAAGGGAGAGGAACTAGTATCTCCCACTCTTTCTACCGTGCCTGAGTGTGCTGCTCTGTTTAGGCGGCACAGGGCGCTTGCGCGAATGACCGTGTGTGTTTATGTACAGCGTCCCACGCGTATCCAAGGATGGTGACAGCTATTGCTTGACTGTTGTGTAGTAAATACACTGTTGTGTATTCGTAAATGTGAATTGTTTAAAATGGAAATCGAACAAAGTAAATCTATTAATGAAAAAAAGTGATACGAAGTAGTGAAAGCAAATAGTACGGTCTTTATTAGACACTTAAATAGGTTCAATCAAAACTGTTTGTTTCTTACTTCAGTTATCATAAACCAATTGTATCAGTTGTAAAAATTTGCGATGATGATTCTGATAATAACGATGGTGTAAAAGTCGTCGAAATTATGGATGGAAGTTGATTTTTCTGAGAGATAAAATTTAATGTAATATATAAATAACGATATAATATTATAAATAACAACATATAAATTGTCATATTTGTGTACGATAGCGCAATAAATAAACATTGTATTCTACCTCATAAATGATAGTACTTTTATACTTTAATTAAACACAATGTTAATATTGAAGTTTTCACTTCTGCCGGCACTCCCGGAGTGCTCCCGTTGTTTTTTTTTTTTTTTTTTACACAACGTTTGTAAGGAGCTGCAACCATTACACCATGTTCCACATGACATTTTAAGTAATTAATAATAATAACATAAATAAAAACAAAGACTTGTCCCCTATCAGCAGGAGGCATGGTGAAATAGGAGCACGCACTTACATTCCGTGGGAACAACCGCAAACACATAGTCGAAATAATTAACATCACCCATACTCAATTCAAGTACGACCAGTCACCACAAGTAGCACCCGTTCACGAGTATGACGCAAGGCCAGCCATCGGCCCCTCCCTATTAGGAGAGAGACAACCCGACGCATGGACGCCGCCACAAGCAATGACATTTAACACGTTCGTTGCATTACGAGATCTATCAGATCTCTTGCAGGACTTTCGTATTGTCGTTGAACATAATTGTGTTTTTTCACTCCTTGCGGGAGGATGTAACTTGTAAAGTTCTTGAAGGATGAGCAGGACAAATATACATATTTGCTTCTTACTTAAAGCTGAATTAAAGGACATTAAAAAATAAATTAGAGATGGATTAGGTCCCTAACGCACAGTACTGTAATTGTTTTAATTCCTTGCGTTAGGAGATATGTCGGTACTCGTGAAATCGTACACCTCGTAGACGCAAGAGATGGAGGATGGCATTTTTAGTGTTGTCCTAGAATCGACATTCAGGAAGTCGCGGGCACGTTTTGGAAATAACACTCGCGTATATATCAGCTGTTGATTATTTTTGATAAACAATGAGTGATTAAGTTTAAAAGAAAAAAGTGTAAAAAATCTATTTTATTGGTGAGGTTTCTAACAAAAAAATCAACGCCGGATTATACTGCTGCATCGTCCAGTAAAATATTTGTTTTGGAAAATGTTCAAATTTGCCCCCATTGACTAATAATGACAGTGATTCTGATTATGAAATATTTAACGATAAACCTTTTCGTTGGAGCACACGCAGTTAAACAGCACTGACGCTTCTAAAAAAACTAAACGAATTGTTACCATTTGCGCGTAATGTGCAAGCAATCAATGTGCTACCATGTTTTAATGAAAAACACTTTGCATAATTAATAAAACTTTTAGAATCGATAACTGAGATATTATTTTATTCCCATCACTACTTACTACACATATTGAACTATCTTCGGGTCGGTACGAGAACAATCGATTCTAATTTTTTTTTGTTATTTGTAGTTTATTCAAATGTCGTAACTGCGTCGAACCTAGCAAAATATAAACAATTACTATCTTTCACCCACAAAAAATTCAAAATATATGTCATTTTTTTGGAAGATTACATTATTTTCAAAAGTGTATTTTTAGGAGACTGATTAGGTCTCAAACGCACCAGAGGTAGGCTTGTTACGAGATCTTTTAGGTCTCCAACGCACCAGCTGAAAGTTCTTTAAAAATGATGGCGCAGTGAACGTGTTAAGCGAGCATGATCCTTGAAATGTGGACTTGGCTACATAAGAAAATAATAATAATACTGAAATAATTGGATACTACATGGATCACGGTTTGTTCCCACTTTACATTAAAACAGTCGTGGATGTTGACGATCGCCCCAGAGTCTGGAAATGCAGCCGAGAGATTCAGTCGTGTTACCTATAATATATACTGGAGCAACTCATATCCAAGCACTAGGATCGTTTAAATATTCATTTATATTATAATAAGCCTTAGCAAGCAGTTTTACTTTTAATGTACGATTTAAATTTATTTATTGACAACGCTTGTATCTCACTAGGGATTTTGTTGAAAAAAACGTATACAATTGCCTTGGAAAGAATTACTCGTTTTATGCAGCCTTCTGGTTGGTGCGCTAATTTTGTCTTTATAACGAGTACTATAATTATGGAAGCTACTATTCTTTTTAAAGATATCTATATTTTTCCGCACATACAAAATATTCTCATAAATGTATTGACTTGCCAGAGTCAAAATATGTAATTCCTTAAATTTGCTTCGGACCGACTCCCGTGGGGACAACCCACAGATCGCTCTTATAGCCCGCTTTTGCACTATAAATATCGATTTAATGTCAGCTGCATTACCCCACAAAAATAACACCATATGACATAATACTATGAAAATAGCTGAAAAAACAAGCTTTGCTGTGTTCTCATCCGTAAGATCGCGTATCTTTTTACTGCGAACGCTGCGGAACTTAGCCTATTCGAAAGACCTTCTATGTGTCGGCCCCACTGGAGTTTACTGTCTAAAGTAATTCCCAAGAACACCGCATTATCAACAAAGTCTATTTCCTCGTCTTTAATTATTATTTGAGAATGACTACTTTTTACATTTGTAGTTACAAATTTAACACATTTTGTCTTCTTTTCGTTTAACTTAAGATTATTTGTATTAAACCAGTGAACTACACTGGAGATGGCACTGTTTACGTTATCAAGTGATGGATTTTGTCGTTTCACTTTAAATAAAAGCGAAGTGTCATCAGCAAACAGTACTATCTCGTGAAGCTCCTTTACAAGAAATGGCAGGTCATTTATATAGACGAGGAATAAGAAGGGACCAAGTTGGAGCCTTGCGGTACTCCCATAGTAACAGAGGATCCCTGTGATATAGCTCCATTTACATATACCTTTTGAATTCTATCGCTCAGGTATGATTCCACAAGATTTAGCGCTTTTTCGCCAATGCCATAGTATTGAAGTTTCTTGATTAGGATTTCGTGATGGACACAGTCAAAAGCCTTTGATAAGTCGCAAAAAACTCCAATGGCATCATGAGAATTTTCCCAAGCATTTAAAAATCTCGGAAATTAATTGAATGCCAGCATCTGCTGTGGAGCGACCTCTTGTAAAACCATACTGCTGGCTATGCATAATTTTATTATTATTAAAATGTATCAATAATTGTTCAAGAATGATTTTTTCAAAGATTTTACTCAAAGCCGGCAGCACAATATGGGTCTAAAATTTGTGGGGTCCGAAGTGCTGCCCGTTTTGAATAACGGTGTGATTTTACTTATCTTCATCTGGTCTGGAAAGACTCCACAATCATACATTCATTAAATATTATAGCCAACTCTGAACTGATAGTATTGATTACTGATTGTAAAATGAAAACAGATACACCCCAAAGATCTTTAGTTTTTTTTATTTTTAGCTGTTTAAATGTTTTTATAATGTCATTGCAGCTAATGCGCTAAATACAAACTTATGATTGCATACAGGAACATTCTTTTTCAATAATAAAAGGGCGGCTGATGGTGAAGAATTTAAAACGCTGGTTGTATTTAAAGGAATGTTAGTAAAAACTCTTCAAATGCAGAGTTTACACAATAGACTTCTATTGTTTAATTAATAGATAATCAAATTATCAATATACAAGCCTAATCAATACAAATTGAACTTATTTCAAAATAAAGACGTTAGGACCGTTCATTGCCATATGATAAAGAATCTACGAGACAATGATAAAATAGTATGATTACGGGAATTAGAATATGAAAATTATCAAATGATATTTTTAATATTACGAGCCATTGATAAAAAAGGCTATGGCTACCTCGTCACCTCGTGTGTTTGAATCGATGGGTTTTTTCTATGTGCGCATTTAACACACGCTTTTAGGTTAAAGGAAAACATCGTGAGGATACCTCCATACCTTAATACCAATCAGTGGCGAGACACTTTTTGTCGCTTTTTTTTATTATATCACTATTTATTTTATTATATCACTTATTGGCAAACATGACATACACGAAGTGATAATACAAATATTAAATCATCTAAGGACCAATCCAATATTACGTACTCTTAATTTAATTCACATATATCTGAAAATTTATATTTTAAACAATTAGAGTGTTGTTTCTCCTTCAATTAGTCAAGGTCAAGATCATCTATTTGTTCTGTCTCGTAAATATATAAAAAATTATATTTTCGCACAAAATTAATTAAAAAGGTTGAAAACATTATCATAATATTGGCGGAGCATCGAATTACTGTTTGTTTTATAGTAGAAAAAACGAAGATTCCTATAGGAAATGTCCATAATATTATACACAACTATATATCTGATGCCCCTGAGACTACTGAGAATTTCAGAACGCTGTTTGGGTTTGTTACAACAATATCGACCAACCTTTAGCTCCATTCACAACTATGGAGGAAACCTGGCTTCACCATTATGACCCGGAAACAACTAAAACCCGCCCATGACCTGGAAAAGACCGATATCGCCAACTCCGAAAAAAATTAAGCCGATTTCGGCCGCCGGTAAGATCAAGGGCTGTTTTTGGGACAGCCAAGGGTTGGTAATGATTGAATACCGCAACCATGGAGCCACTATATGGTTTGTGAAATACGCAAACGACGGCATGGCAAACCACGCACAAGTCCAGAGTTTCGATGGCTTCAAGAAGCTAGCTACGGATTGATGGAATATCGTCTACAAAAAGATCGTATACAGTCTATCAGCATGTAAGGTGACTACGTCAAAAATTAAAATGACATTTAATAAAAGATAACTGCGTAAGTAACTAATTAATACTCAGTATCAGTTTTTATTGAACATTCGGTACATGCATAACTATCCTTACATACAAAGGCAAGTAAAAGTGTCGAATATAACACATTCTTAAAAAATAAAAAGACCATATTGCGAACATAAGAAAATACAACTTGTTTAAGATAGTGTTTAGTAGGGATTACACAACAGACTGGTTCTGGTAGATATTTGCCGTGAACATCTGTGCCACATAAAGAAATCATGTATCTGTGACCTACCGGGTTCTCCACTAAAGACATTGTGACTTGGACGAGCGAAAATGATTTTCTGCATTATGTAAAAAAAGTAAAGACGGCCGTTATTAACAACCGTAAAATGACGGCCGTTAGTTAATGGCACCGCTTTTCTAGGAAACCTAAGCTTAACATGCGTTGATACGAGACATGACAAATTATATTACATTTTTTTGTCCAATAAAATTCAGACTCTTAAAGTCATAGACAATAATTGTCTGTACTGGATGCATTTTATTAAAATAGTATAACGCTCATACTAAGACAATTCCTATATTGTCTCTATAGATGATATTCCTATGGTTTCACCAAGTCACAATTATTATATCTATTCGCAAAGGTAATGCGCGCTTGTCAGATATCACGAGTGGGTTGCGTGGCGGTGGCTGGCGGCTAATTCGCAATCAATTGATTTTATCCATCACGTTATTGTGATATCTTATGATTATTTTTACACTTCCTGTGATTCCCAAACAAATTTAAGCGTGTTAATGAAGCTAATTATCATTAAGATAATTAATATACACACATATAAAACATGCAATCATACTACCCATATTATATCTGATAGTAAGTCTGGCACAGACTAAAAAAGACAAAGAGGTAGCAAATATATGAAAAAAATTTCTTTGTTTAAAGGAAATTAACTGAGATTTTATAACAAACTACGTAAACAAGACGTTGTCCTTCATGATATTTCACACGATATGATATTGAGCAAAGTATGACAGTACCGATTGCAGCGCCATCTGCCGGGCTGATTTGTCAATCTAGACCAATCATAGCGCCACCCAAATGCATACAAAAAAAATCATTCAAATCGGTTCAGCCGTTAAAGAGGAGTTCAGTGACGTACACACGTACAGTAGAATTATAACATATGTCTCAGAAGAAAGTTTACATTTCAATTCAGAGCGTTGTGTGAAAATGTTAGACGACTTCTTGGTGCCTGAACTTCAAAACTTTCCTGGCTATAACCAAAGAACATGGTTCCAGCAGGATGGACCAACGTCACACACGTCCAATACGTCTCTGCCACGAGTTCGTGAAATTTTCTGAGGCAAATTGATCTACAGGACAGGTGACATAAATTGGCCTCCTCGCAGAGTGCCGAGAACGCGAGAGTCTACGTAAGAAATAAATTCCGAAAATGTGTACTTAAATAATGAATAAACACTTTTTTGATATTCGCCTTACTTTTTTTTAAATCGATCAACTAAATATGAACTCTCACTAGAGACATCCTGTATATATAAAGATAATACTAAATTTAGTTTCAAAAACCCCTTTCTGTTTTTCTACTGTATTTAAAGTATTTTAAGATCTTCATCCGTCTAATACACAGTTTACCAGTACCAGTCTTCCAGACAGCATTTAACTCACAACTTTCTAAATTAAGAAACATTTTAACCAAATAATATTGAAATTGCAATAAAATTCACCTTGACAGTTCAGATATTGATGGAAATTTTTCCAATTATGAAAGCTTTAATACAAAGCGATCATTATATTTATCTGCCTATAGGTAAAAGCTCCGCCAACGTTAAATTAGAAAACCAATGGAACACCTTTATCGTGAATTTTCACGTTAGACAACGAAAAGCAAAGAAAAGTTTAAAATTTCATCAAGTGAGACAAGTTTTATTGCTTCAGATATAGCTTGCGTTCTCACGTACTATAAACTAAGATATATAAAATTGTGTGAATTGTGATAGGCTCTAGGCATTTTAATGCTTACTTAACAACATTATAGCCGGAACTTGATAAAAAAACGATAAAATAAAATTACGTAAAAAATATTAAATGATTTTCACGCAAAATCGATATCACATGGAAATTTAGTACATAGACGTGTTCAGGTATCATTAAAAAAGCTGAACTATATTTTAAAATAATAATATGTATTGAGTATTCCGTTTTTGGCTTTTGTGTACAATGTAATTGTTTGGATATTAGTTAGTGAGTAGCTGTAGGAATACCTACTGTTGAGCAAATAAATAAATAAATAAAATTATTATTTTTGAGCAGAAGTCAAAGGCCAGTGACTACGATGGTTTGGAGAAGACTCTCACGCCTGAAGGGCCCCTCAAAGAAAGAGCGTACCGAACCAGAAAAGGCCCACACACACTTACAATCCTTCTGGCAGTGGCGTCGATGTACTTACTATTATCATCATATCAACCATGCTCTGTGTGGTTTAGATATAGATATATTTTTTTCTTACAAGTTAAAGTTTGATTTTAAATGTTTTAGGCAAATCAAAACGTTGGATGAAACAGACACAGAAATTTGAGAAGTTCTAGTAACTGATTTTTAATTATTTTTAAAGCCAATTTTTTTATTCCCGTGAGAACCTGTACCCTTATATTTAATAAGCAGTAATTCATATTTATGATTACTATAATAGTAATTTAATATAACAATTAATAATTAAAATAATAAAAAAACTGAAACTTATTAGCAGATTAATATTCCTAAAGCGTGCAATTAATTCTTAAAAAATTTTTTTTAATGATGATAATGAACATTTCGGTCATGTTTCTTCTTATCTCGCTCAGATTTGTTATAAACTGATAATATTAATAATGCATTTACCGTCTTTTGGCTATCATGCCTAATAGGTTTTAAGCAAGTTATCGAGTATCTATATTAATAAATAATAATGTTGCCCGCAACTTCGTCTGCAGGAAAATATTGTTTTAGTATTACAATATTCAATACGCCTATATTCGTTTTATCAATGAGGTTTTATCAACCGTCAATTAAAATGTCGGCATTTGATTGGTATTGAACGCGGATACAATGGGTCTACGTTCACAGCACTTTTTAATATCTATAACAAAGTTCATCAGTCTCGGTCCAACAGTCAAATTATTTACAGCATTAGTAAATTTCGCGCCTTGGACTAGTGGTAAACAGTACTGCAGGTCATTATGTCTAGAGTAAGATTTTGCTAAGGAAATTTGAATCTATAAAATATTTTTTGTACTTATATTAGGTCCTTACATATGAAATTGGCGTTTTGTATGGGAGGAACAAAAAGTCGAATATTTTTAATTATAATATATTTAATTAATCAAAGTATGAACCATTGTTTTCTATGCACTTTTGCCATCTCATAGGTGTAGTTCATTGATCCCTTTACTAAAAAATGGAGGATGTCTTAGACTTTCCAATTGAAGCTCTTCTAATTTGGTAGCCGTCTGTTGTGCAGTGTGTGGTCTAGCGTTGTCGTGAAGTAGCAGTGGCGTGGAGCGATTGACCAGCCAAGGTTGTTTAGCCGCTAGCTTTTCCATCATGGTTTGCAATTGCTGACAATAGACATCAGCCGTAATAGTCTGGCCAGATTTGAGAAAACTGCAATGAACAATACCGGCACTAGTCCACCAAACGCTTACAAGTAACTTTTTTGGGGTAATTTTTGCTTGGGGCAGGATTTGGCTGGCTGGCCAGGATCCAACCATTGCGCTGAGTGCTTCCGATTATCGTAAAGAATCCATTTTTCATCACAGTTAATGATTCGGTTTAAAATACCTTCATTATTGTGCCGGTTCAGTAATGTAACGCAGCAGTCGACGCGCGTTTGCCGGTTTGCTTCAGTCAATCCGTGAGGTACCCATCTTTCAAGCTTTTTAATCTTCTCAATTTGCTTCAAGTGAATTAAAACAGTTTTATCACTAACACCGCAGCCTGCAGCTAACTCGAACGTGGTTTGCGATGGATCCGCTTCCACAATAGCCTTCAATACTTCAATATCAACTTGGGTCTCAGGCCGTCCACGGGGCTTGTTCTGCAGGTCGATATTTCCAGAACGAAAACGTTGGAACCAAAAACGAACTGTGTTTTCTTTTGCAACATGACCGCCATACACATCATTCACCCTTCGAGTCGTTACCGCAGCACTAGTGCCACGGCGGAACTCGTACTCGTAAATAATGCGATACTTTAACTTTTCCATTTTGTAAAATGAGTGACGCAAACAGAAAAAAAACAGAAGAAAAAAACAAATGAATGACGGTCATCGAAGCACAGATACATGAGTAAATAGCGGAACAAATTTGAATTTGGAATTCCTTACCAAAGAGGAGAACATCGTGATTAAAGTGGCCAGTACGAAAAACGCCAATTTCACATGTAAGGACCTATTATTATAAAAAAAAATAAAAAAACATATGTTTATTATGGAACATAAGATACATGTATCACTTATTCCACGTCATTCAATTTGAAGGCATCCCTACTCATCGGCAAAGAAGACAGAGGGTGTAGGCCGAGAGAAAAAGCCGGCGTAAAAAACTCTCGGTACTCATTTAAAATAGCAAATCTTCAAACAACACTTATTTTAAAACAAATATCGCAAATTAATTAGAAGTAGCCTGTCTAGCACTAGTCCCAGGCCCTTTTATCAACTAGATAATCGTTGACTTTATAGTAAGCCTTTTTACACAACTTTTCTTTAATACATTTCTTAAATTTATTAAAAGGCAGAGATAAAAGAGCCTCTGGGATTTTTTTAAAGAAGAGTATCCCTTTTCCCAAAAGAGAATGACTAACTTTAGATAGTCTAGTACGGGGAAATTTGCAGCCTGCGTTTGTTCCGTGTATTAACATTGTGCGTATGTTCTATGCTAGTAAA